TGAATAAATGGAGTACATTTGTATTGCATATTTAAGTGCTTGGATAGTAATGGAGGTCTTCAAATCTTTGTTTACTACTAGTCAGGTTTCTCTAGCATTGCTAAAAGTAAAATCTTTTAAAAATGATCTGGAAAAGGTCCATATCTTACAAATATGGAAACCATCTGAGAATTATGTCCATATAATCCAGTACCATTTATCTGTCTTGCCTATTCTGAAGTACACAGGGGCAATACTATCTTGCATCTTGTATTTCACTAGTCTCAGTCTTACCTAGAATCTCTCAGAGCACAAATAAATAACAGTATATATATAAAAAGAATATAGCCTCCACAGGGCTTCAAGTACAACTTTCCTCCCTTTAAATCCTCATCTACACCAGGCAATGTTATTAAATTTTCAGTGCTACCAAATGTTTAAATCAAAGCAAAAATTTCAACCAGACTTTGTCTTATGTTAACAATGAATCCTGTTTTCCTGTCGATTTAACTGACATGAGCATAAAGCTGCTGCAACCACCCCCCCCCCCCCATAAAATGCCTTTAGCTTGGAATATATAAACAGCAGGATCTCAAGATCAGTGTTTCTCTTTATCCTAAGAGGAAGATAAAAAACAGTCGTTCCAGATGATTTGCTCTCCAGATTCTTCATTCTCCTCACACACTGTCTATGTGTAGATCTCATCTTTGAGCATGGCAATAGCATGCCTGGGAGCTTTATTGGTATTTTAGAAAATGAGAATCTTATCTGTGAGATACAGGTATTGGGAAGTGTCTGGTATTGGGCTATTTGAGTGTCTGGAAATGCTACCTTTCAAGAAAACAGCATTAGCCCAATGCAGGACTATGAGGAAGAAAAGGAATAAAACTGATTAAAGAACAAAAGGGGAGAGGAAAATCCATTTCCCTTGTGGACAGTATCTCAGAAGAAACGATCGACAATGTTTGGTGACGGTAAAAAACGTTCTACAATTCTGCAGTTACTGGTACCAAGTACTGTAATTGCCACTGGTGGCAAGGGTGGCGACTCAGCTTTTGGGGATAATTTAAATTTGATTTTAAAAATGTCATGTTTATTTTGCTTTCTCAGTAAAACAACAACAACAAAAATTACATAGAGAATTTCAAAGCACATATTGCATCTCTGCCTTCACTTCCCAGATTAAACTATCCAAAGGATGGCTCTGGTTACTAATTCCAGTTAAGAATAACCAATGTCAGCATTTGTCCTGCAAAGTCTGCTGAGGTGAGGAGAGAAAACTGCAGAAGCAAAATGTAATCACCTCTGCCTTATTCCCAAAGGAGCCTGGAAGCACCGGAAGATGCGCACAGACAGGCAGTGTGCTAATTCACTGCATTCCCTTAGCAGGCTGGGTTCCTATGAAGTGCCTGAGGGCACGGGGTGTTAAAGCTCTTACTGACAAAGACAGAAACCATAAGAGAGCAGGGAACATATATTATGAAAATACATAGCCTAGTAACACAGTGAGGCTCCACTTTGCTGAACACCCTGAACAGAAAAATAATCTATTTCCTTTTTGAAGAGCCTACAGCCCAGTTACTAACTAATGAGCACAAAGTAACTATAAAGCAGTTTTACACAGCAATTTAACAGTATAACAAGACATTTACTATGCCCAGCAGAGGTGATATCATTTATCCCCTTTATCCCCTCTGAGCTCTCTTTCATAACCATTCTATTGTCATTCCTATCACTTTATGACTGGAATGTATTCCTTACCCGGGATATTGTCAAAGAGCTGACAGGCAGCTTTCTCTCATAGGTCCTGTCCATTAAGGTGGCCAATTCAGCTGCAGGAAACAGAAGGGAAAAAAAAAAAAAAAAAAAGAATGTTTAATCAGCTGAGATTATAGGAAAATCTATTGAGCTATCATATAACTTAGAATAGACACTATATCCATGAAGTTTAATGTGGGGTTCCCTAATAACATCTTCTGTAGTTTTCATTCAGAAATTGTATAAAAACAATACTATCAGTTACTGTTTTATTATTTGTCAAATATTTGAACAGAAAATATTGGAGGGATCTTTCAACATGATGATTTTATACTACAGCTAAAAAAAAGAGTAGTTATCTTGAAAATTCACACTTCCTTTCAAGCTTAGCATTTGCTAGATAGTGCTTTTGGGGTGGTTTTCTCCTTCATTTTATGGTAAAACAATAAAACATAGAAACAAGCAGTACTGTTCTGATAAACCCCGCAGGCACAAACAGCAATCCAAAGAAATCCAGTTAATCAAATTGGGCACTGGCCTAGTACCTTATTAACTTTATTGTTTTATGTTCCAGCAGTCAGATAAGAATAGCAATTTTACCACGCAGGAAGTTTTTGACCGTTAAACAGGTAGCCAAACGTTGAATTTAATGAATACAATTTGGAGTTTTATTTTTGCATTCTTCCTGGAAGACAATGATGCCCAGGAAGAATAAGCTGTTGGCTGTAAGCTTAGTGTCAGCTGCGTGCCTTGCTGCAGAGACGCATGCTCATGGCACTCCAGCTGTAATATTTAGAGCCATCCATCAAGCCCTGCACCTTCCAGCAGTAGGGACCCTAAGTATTCTCCCTGCATCCCTAGCACCTCCCTTTGCCCTTTGCTTATGGAGACTCCAGCTGCTTTTGATGCAGGAATGGCCTCCTTTTACACCTCCAGATGAGCCCCATTGGTCATGCTAGAACTGCTGGGCTGGTGAGCTTTGCAATTCATTTTCCACAAAGGTCACCTCAGTGAAACACGAGGTGGGCGCAATTTGCAGCAGCCCATCACGACCGAGCATCTCTTGCGCTCCGGCAAAACCGGCACGGACGCAATCAGGAGGCAGTGTCTCCAAGGGCTGCGGGCTGCGAACGCGCTGTCCACAGAACAAGCGATATCACCATCCATCATTTTAAAAGTAGCATCACTATCCATCATTTTAAAAACGATCCAGTACCACTGGTGAATACTAAGAGATGCATACAGCTTTAACAGTAAAAATGACATTCAGTGCTACTGTGATCTTAGAGGTACTTTCTCAAATTACAACACTCATGCAAAGATTGTTGCTGTACTAAAATGCTGGAGTCTTGGGTTTGCAGTTAAGTGTTAAAATCCTAGGTAAATGTTGCTGTCCACTGCATACCAGTATTTTGTATTTATATGGAATCTTCCTGAGGCATTTGGGGTGCTTTTCAAAACACAAAAGAAAACATTCCTGACATGCACAAGTTCTCTCTGGCTGAGGGAAGGCAGACAACATCCCATGATCATGAAAGGGAAATGAAATATGGGGCAAGGAAACCAAGGAAGTATCAGCTCTGATGAAAACAAAGCAAGATACTGAGATGAGGTGGCCACCAAGGCCATTCTGTACTGCATAATCACTGTAACACAGAGCAGACAGCTCTTTTAGTGATAAAGGATTTTCAGTGGGAATATCCTTATAAGAAGGACTCTATATTGCCCTTCTCTCCTCCGCTCATGATGAGCATGGTTCCACTCCACATGAAACACAACCAGTCATGCTATTAGTTAGAGAGAATAAGTGTTGCAACCAAGTCGACAGGAATGAAAGAAAGACTAGATATTTGCATAAACTTACTAAGCCAGAAGTTAGCTTCTTCTCACTCAGCTGAAAAAAAAAATTAAGTATTCACACAGAAATCTGCTTTTTTAATAACATGGCAACATCACTCTGAGATGAACAACTGCATAGATTGAGATCACATCTACCTAGTACAGAACCATTTGTCCAAATTCACCAAGTTGCCATGCATCTCCCTTTGGGAACCAGAAGCAGATACTTCAGACCACACGGGCCACACTCAGGCCCTGAACCTAGGATTTCTTTTGTCTAGGTGCTCATGAAGTTGAAGAGCCCACCTCAGAAAACCATGACAGACTGAAGTAAAATATAAACCAAATGAATACAATGTCAAGAATATAGGATCCCAAGACTGCTAGGACCTCCTCCAGGAGCACTTGCACAGAATTTTAATGATTGACCTTTTGTGCTGTCTGAAAAGCTGGAACTCTCCATCAAAACTGTAGCATGAAAAGTAACATGCACTTATCCATCAGCTCTGGCATAAGAATCACAATAAAAATGAAAGCTGCTTAAGCCTTAAAGAATAAAAGACAAATCAAGATAATTGGAAATTTAGGTTTGTTGACACACAAACTGCAGTTTCTGCTGGGAGTTTCTAAATATGAATAATTTGCAATGGGTAATCCTTTCCCAGGTTGCTTTCTTCAAAGAACAGATTGCTTTTCTCAGATTCACGATTTGAAATAATTCAGCTACCTTCTGTGAACCAAGCTTATTCTGTAAATAGCTGTTCAATAATCCATATTATTGCTTTCTCTCAACTAAAAACATCCTGATAGAAATACTAGAATGCAAGAGGGCAAATGCTTGAGTCTTTTAGCACTGTTAGAAGTAAAACTTGATTGCTAATATTAGTGTAGAAAACAAGCGCTGTTATGGCCAAAGTAAAATCTTATGTACATTCTAATAGATATGTGTTGCATACAAAATTAACTTTCACAAAACTTCAATTCCTCCAGAAAAAAAATATTTTTTGCATCTTGCAGGACCTCATGGATGTAAACAAATTAACAAACTTTAAGTCTGAGCAGAGGTCACTTCACTTTGGAGTGTGACTTATCAGTCTTTAGAGCAGCATCTAGGATTTTATGTTTTTTTTCTTTTTAGAAAACATTTAGCTTTCATAAAAGCCTTGATTTATTTCATAGGCACAAGAAAAATGTAAAGGAAAGCTTATTCTGCCTTACAAATTTATGTCCCGTATTTCTCACAATACCCATATCCCTAGTAGCTTCTGGAAGGACCTACAGCTTTGTATGGAAGAATGCGTGACTGGAAATTCCTCAAGTCTGCAAAGGCAGCACTGCCACCTGGTGTTCCTCCCAGACAGCCGAGGAGACACTGCTGGTACAAGCTTTTCTAACCAAAAAGATGTTTGCTATTTTCACCTGTTTCTTGCCATCACCTTGGATTTTGATAATCTCCCTGCTTGTTATTAAGACACTTATTGTCACTTCATTTTACTTGTTAGCAGCAAGCCGACTGCAACATTGGAGAATCTAATCCAGCCATGCCTCCTGTTTCCTTAATATCTATTTTTTCATAAGTGGAATCCAAATTACTACTAGACAGCTATCTTCCTACCAATCAGCAGTTTACAAATAGCAAATTATGGCATTTTCACCCCTTTCTTTTCTGAGCAAGTATGCTTCTGTACACAAAACATGATCTTGTTCTTTCCCACACCCTTTTCAGCACTGAGGTTTCCTAAGCCACTCATGCTAAACTGAGACTGCAATCACATGCACTTATTCTTATAGAGAAGAATAAACAGTGTCTTATATGGACATGGTAAATGAGTCCAGGACTGCACCACAGCATTGTAGCAGAGAAATGGAATGGAATCTAAATCAAAACATTTTTTTTTCTGCAGATATATTCTCATAACATTTCTGAAACAGTGTTTGAAATACCCAAAGAAAAGGGGATCCCCTGAACAGAAGGAATTCACTCTAGCCACAGTCACCGGTTACTATCCGCAGGATTGTATGTGCAAACATACAACTGACAGCTACAGAGCAGATGTCCGTGGTGCTGTCTTGTCTTTGAAAATGCTAATGCAGCTGACACTGTGTTAACTTGTTTTCTGTGAACACAAAATGAAAATGCAAAGTAGTTCTTCAGAGAGCATGCGGCAGGCATCTGCTTTGGACCAAGGTCTTTAGCAGAGCAGCAGCTAAAACTTTGCGAGCCAAAGAGTCACAAAAGGTCTTGGCAAGCCTGGGAGAAGCCAGGAATTGACTGTACAAGTGCTTGCACAACACACTTTTTCTCTACAATGGATTTCTGTTCCCTAGGAAGTTAGTTAAAATAGGAATCATTTTTCATCTGGAGGTGATTGATTCAAATACATCCCAGGTCATTAACGTCTGTGAGTCCTGCCCAAAAAAGGCTTTCACAGAGGTGAGCAATCCCATTGACCGTAAAGCATTACAATGTAGAACAATCTCTGAAGGATCCAGGCTACAGTTATAAGCTGGTTCTGGCTCATAGAGTAAAGCATGTTGACAGTACCAATCTATCAGCATATGGGCAAGTAACAGAAATAAATCGATGCATATAATGCTAAAGACAAAATTCTGATCATTGTCTGTCTTCCTGCCTGACAAAAGCCCTTGAATTCCACTTGTTAATTCTTTTTGCAGCCCCATAATCTGTGTTATAATTAACAAATATCATTCAAGGGTATAGAAAACTCAGGAATGAAAAATGGGAGATAAAGCCTATGTATTAAGAGATTAACTAAGACAGTTTCACTCATGGTACCAAATAACATATTTATATCTTTAGCCTAGAAAAACTTTGCCACAATGCTTTCCATGCAATATATTCACCACAAAGATGGCAGAGTGTCATTTGACATGTAGTCTAGTCAAAGAGGAGTTTACTTATGAAATTCCCAAGAGGGATTTCAGTACCATAGTTTAAAGTAAAACTTATCTGAAATATTTTTCTCATAAAGAATATAAAATTTCAAAATTTCCTCCTGCACAACTATGAAGAAAATGTTCTTTTAAAATACCCTTCTCAAACAGTAATGACGTATAATACTTATGTAATAGGTGCTTTTTTATGCTGCATTACAATTATAAATTAAACCTTTTAAAATTTTAACAGGGAATAGTTTTCCAATTTTCAAACCCCAAAATATGACAATCATTAAAGTTTCAGACTTTGTGACAGAAAAAAAAATCAACTTGTAGAAAACAAACATTAATTAGCTGGGCAAATTCTGACTTGTTTCTGCATATAGATTTGAACACAAAAGACAGATTTTTAACATGATGCAGATTTTGACACAGAATCTCAGGAGTGTTTTACTCCAATGCACTCCTTGATGCATTCATGGATCATGAGCTAGTGTAAAATGATTTTAGGTTTGCAATTAATTAATCAAATGGAGTTAAAAAATGTGTAGGAATAGGAAGAAAGGTTGGCCAGGAATGAAAATAATAATGCTGATTACTTGATGGATAAAGGATTTTCTGAGGCCAACCATTAGATGTTAACAAGGATCACCTGGGAAGGTTGTTGGAAAAACCCTGGACTAAGAGGCCGCGGGGCCTTTAGGTTGTTGTCTGCTTCTTTGTGATTCCCCACAAAGAAGAAAGAAATTCTCACCCAGGCTATGCTCTTTTTTTTTTTTTTTTTTCCTTCCTGTTTTCCCATTTTGAGCTGTCCACATATGCTGCAGAAAGAAGAGATCTTCTACCTAAAGGGAAAAATCTGCCATATTTATTGAGCTAGATGCATTAAATTGCCTTTACAGCACAGTTGTTAGAAGACTGTAATACTGTAATAGTCTGCACTCCCTATATTAGGACAAGCCACTACCTTTTCATTTTTAATACAGCAAAAAGTTTTCCCCTAGTAGTTTTTTTTCAGCAACAGACATGTTTCCCCCAAATGGAAATCCATTTTTAAGAAGATTATAAAGGTAGAAAAAAAAAAAAACAAGCAACAATAGAGAACAACAACTTTTTTTTTTCCTCATATGGACTCATTTTGTCAAATGTTCCTATTTAGCAAAACAGACATAAAAGCGTAAGCATAAAACACTTGTGCATCCCTAACACAATGAGGTCTAGACAACACATGGTGAACATCAGAGTAAAATTTGTTGAAGGAGGATCTGGAGTTTGCAAAAATTAATATTAAGAAATGTGAAACATTTTAAAAACAAACATTACTATGATAATTATTATGCTATCTGGAATTCTTAGCAACTACCTTAAAACCATTAGCTGAAAATCTATCTACTACCAGTAAAGCTTTGCTACTGTTGAAAGCAAAATAATCCTCCTCCTTTCCTCTACCATTTTTCTGACGTATACAGATGCCCAGCTTCTGAACATCTTTTCAGTATTTTTTCCCAAAAAAGACCTGGTACTCGGAGTCCCACAGTCATAATATGAGAATATTATGTAATAGCTTTAAAGTCAAAAAACAGAAGAAGTGGGTTTTTTGAAGACAATTTTCTTTACACTGCCAAGTGATGTATATAAAAGGTCTTTTTCTTAAAAAAAAAATAAAATAAAATAAATAAAGGGTTTTGTGTATGTGTTTCTTCATAGCCAAGAATGGCACTGGAAAGCATGAGCACCTGAAAAGCTGTTTTGTGCAGAGCAGGCAGGTAGGTAGGTGAGAGGAAGGCGGTTTGCACCTCCGTGCAGGTCACTCCGGGCGCAAGGTGACACTTGCGAGGTGGTTTTTGCAGAGGCACCTTTTGCAGAGCGCAGGGCCCACCCGCTGCCAGCCCCGCTGCCCGCTCTGACAGCACCGCCTCAGCACCGCGCAGCTCGGTGCCCACTATGCGGAAGGCGCCTCTGTGCCAGGCAGACGCGCGCGAGCAG